GCTTCTATTATTGATTGAATATCTCAATAAAGGAAAGATTTTAGAAGCTGAAATTTTCAATGTTTTCATAACTCACTTAGGGCTACATACTGGAAAAATTTCATTGAAATCTGAGACGTCGATTGAGCAGATGTTTTGGTAAATGTATGGTCGCTTTCTTGCATTGACTCCTAGATATTGTGTTAAAACTTCTTTCCTGAGGACGAAAAATTATTTAAAAAGTTCCCATTTTAATATGATTCTCAGCAGATCTTTCCGTACTAACGAATGATTTTTAGTTTATTTAAATCGTTTTAACGGATTTCACTACTTAAATCAATTTCGATTGCTAATCAGAAATTAATTTATATTTGACTTTTAGCTAATTTCTCCACCTGTAAGCTCGTTTTTCTTCTTTTGTCGTGTAAACAAGCAATTAAACTGATGCTACTTCAATTTTCGGACTTTCGAAAAAACTGGATTTTAGTGGGATTTTTTCAGACTTTTCGATTATCCATCAAAACAATTCAAAGCAAGATTTCTCTAATGATGTTAACCATCTTCCAGAAAGCAGCGAAAGCGGGATTTCTTCATGTATTTATTATTTTGATGGTTTCCCAATATCCTTTTCGACAGTTTTCGAGGAATATAGATAATTGAACGCTATTCTCCACAGACATTCGAACATGCCATGCTGAGGTGCTAGTGGGACTTGTCTTTTCGGAACTTATTGATTCTACTCTGTGAAAAAAAAAGGAGTTTTTCAGAACGGTACCCGATAGCGGAACCCTTTTCTAGGTTCTGTAGCTTATGCAGAACCCTTTTTTGGGGTTCTACAGCTTTTGCAGAACCCAAAAACGGTTCTGCTGTCGGATACCGTTCTGCAAACTCCTTTTTTTTTTAGAGAGTACCGAATTTATTTAATTATAAAAGGATTTATTAATTATGCTGCTACTTCAGTACATCCACAAATATACCCTAATCTACACTCACAGCATCACTGACAACCACACCCTTTTTATAACGATTTTAAAGACTTTTCAAAGTATCACAAAGCAGGAATTTTTTATGCTTTTCTCGAAAACGAAAATGGAATGTATAAGGACAACGAAGATGTCGTGCTCGTCGGAAACATGCTATTTCATGCAATACACACTCAGGCTAAGTAATATCTGCAAGGATTTTTCCGAAGATTTTAAAGATTTTTACAAAAATCCGAACACAGCATTCTTTTTATGCTTCTTCCAACGTTAAAATTAATAGAATGTGTTAGAAGAATGGAGATGTCATGCACCTCGGAAATGTCCTACTTCCTGCAATAGAAACTCAGGCCAAGTAATACATAGTGAGATTTTTCTCATGATTTTGAGGATTTTTCAAAATAATCCCAGAGCAGGATTCTTTTGATGATTTCTCTGTGATTTTCGAGGATTTTTCGACGCTGGGTTAGACTTTTGGTCTAATCTCGATGAGCTCTTTCAGATGACGTGTGAGCTAACTGATTTCTGATAATTAAAAAAAAGACTTTGCAGAATTTTTTTATTGACTTTTTATATTGCGGATTTCTCTAAGATTTTTCGGGATTTTTTGCTGATATTTTGATTTTTAGCCTATGTGTGATGAGCTCTTCCATGTAAGATGCTCATAGCTGACTTATGATGATTTTTTAAAAACAGGATTCTTTTTTATTCTAGCTGGATTTTTTATGCTGTTTTTTGGTTGTCATCCACTGACTGCGACCCTTCACTACCGCAAATCTCGCTAGCAGTATAGTAAATCTTTACGTATACTGTCGTATAAAGTGACAGCTTGGTCGTCTTACGGCGTTTTCTGTGTCGTATACTGGTTGGTATGTCACCGTTAACGGCACGGCGATTTACGGCTGTAAACCGGTGCATAGACCAACAGCGAAATTACGGCCGTGTACGGGCGTATTTTCATCGTACGCAACCGTGGCTGATCGTCGTAATGCTCGGCTTTCCAAGCTCTTTTGATGACTCTATCTCGATTCGATTTTGTTATGATTCTGAAAATTTTATAGTCGACTGCTAAACTTATGAGAAGTCATGATTGGAACTTGTAAGTGAATCAATCGAGATTAAGACTGATTATTAACGTTAGACTCGAAACTAAAACTAACGGCTTGTCAAAAATTTTGAGAATACATCCTATTCCTCGCTGTTGAACATTGCGGAATCAGTTCCGCACCCGGAATCAATTCCATACAATTGCGGGAACTCGATCGTAATTCAATATTACCGACCTACTCGCCACTGATCGAGTTGCATCAATTCCCGGGATTCCGTATCGGAATTATTTCCTGTCTTCGCCCTCACGCATACTATTGTGATTAAAGATTAGTCTCTCGAATAGGCAAGTAATTCCGGTTCAGAATTCCGAGAATTGGCTCGAGAGGAAATTCCAGGGAATTCCGTCCAATTCCGGAATTCCTGAGAATTTGGTGTAATTTCGTCTGAATTCGGTTCCGGGAACTTCGGGAATTAACGGAACTCGGTCAGCGACGAGTAGGTCTGTTATATTTAATGGAACTGATTCTGGGGGCGGAACTGATTCTGCAATGTTCAACATTGTGGAATTGGATGACTGCTCAAAATTTTTATTGCGAAGATCATATATCCATTAATTTGTGAAGTAACCTTTTACAAAACCTTTGTTGCAGATTGTTTCGGTATTAGGCTTTTGAATGAGAAGTGACACGAAATCGAACTTCGAAAAGTTGTTTCGATAAGGTTTTCATAAGGTGATGATACTGTTTTGCTAATAACTCCAATTATATATCAACCAGTCGGGATCAGGTTGGTGACTGCGATTAGAGTTCACTGATAAGGGAACTGCACGAAGTAGTTTCCTACTTAGAGCTCATATTTTGTCTACAAGTAGACTTCGATGTCAGGAACTAAAGCCTGAAAGGATTAATACCCTTGGGCTGTTGAAGCTGATTTGTTACCATTTTGCTGGATTTTTTATTGGAGGCTAGTCATTTGTGGCAAAACTGAACGGTGATATTTTAGCTTGAAATTTTGCCCATATAGAGATATCATTGTTATTATAATATCCTAAAAGTTTCAGTCAAAGCCTACGCTTTTTTTCTTGAGATGTTGCATGGCTAAAAAAAAGGGCTCATGTGTCAAAGAAGAGTCCGAAAATTGAATACTATTAAAAAATCAATATATCTCAAGGATAAAGCATTCATTTCGGCTGAAGTCTTTAGGATATTCTAGTAACAATGAGATCTCTTTACGGACAAAAATTTCAGATTCAAATACCATCGTTGAGTTTTTTCTCGAACGGTTAGGCTCCAATCGAAAATCCAGCGAAATTGTCATAAGTAGGCTTCGACAATTCATGGACACGAATGCTTTCAGGCTTTGACTATTGACATTGAGATCTATTTGTGGGCAAAAAATGAGCCTTAGGTCAAGAGAACACTTCTGGTGCCCCACTCGTGAGTTCTATTTATGCTAAAACTATGAGCCCAAATAGTTGAAGTTTAAATAATTTTCGTCTGGTAGCAGTACTTTTGGTCACTAGTGTATAAGAGTGTTTAGGATGGGTATATTCTTTTTTTTTTGAAAAATATTCTTATGCTGCTTTCCGGAAGCTCTTACAAAAATACGCTCTGTTCAAAAAAATGTGCATTTTTAGAATATCTTTGGTATTTTGGATTTTCTATTCGTAGGATAAAATACAGAAAGAATCCAAAAACATTCCAATCTCAAACAGTGTCTAGCATCTGTAAAAAGTTTTCAGCTCGATTGAACGTATAATTTTACAGCAGTGGGGATGAAAATAGGAACCATTGTTGGCAATTATAATCTGATTATCTTACAAAAGACAGCGTCTAGAAACTTTGAGTTCATGACAAGTTTTGCTCTGACAATTTCAAATTTTTGCGATGAACTGTTCTTGAAAAACTCCGTAAAGTGGGAAAGAATACCCTTAAGAGACAGATAGAAGTTGGTCATTGGCATCCCTAATGAGTGTTCCATAATAACTGACGATACATTGTCTTTGATATTTTTTACACTTTTTCTTGATCGAGAGAACTGAAACTTTATCACATATACATCTAACCATCATCTTCCCTTTCGAAAAGTTTCAGCTTTCTGGCTAAAGCTGGTGGCGAAATCCATCAACAAGATTGACATACCTAAATTTTCGTACTAATATATTATATTGCAAGATAGTTCCGTGGGAAGTCAATGAAAACATCACAAAAGTATTCAAAAAATTTTCTTTCGCGTCCAACTTTATAGAACTTTTTTCGCTGATCATTTTAACAAAAAAAACTTTTCGAATTTCATTGAGAAATGACAATATTATAGTCAAAGTATTTATCGTAAAAACAGAAGATGCCAGATTTTTTTGATAGGAATATCGTATACAATGTTTAATCGAGATTTGTTCATCCTATTTGCCTGTATCTAAGAAGCCGACGATAGGGTTTTGTAGAGCAAAGTTTCCTCTACAAAACCTATTATGTCACATTTCTCCAAAATATAGCCATTTTGAGATATTTGAATCGACTTTGGTACATGCTTTACAGTGTTTAGTATTTTGTCTATAATATTGTCATTACTCAATGAAATTCGAATTTTTTTTTACCAAAATGATCAACGAAAAAAGCTCTACAAAGCAGAGGTGGGATCGGTTCGGTTTGGAACTTTTCAAACTGATCCCGGTTTCTGTTCAGTTCGTTTCTTAGTTAAATTGATACAGCTTGAGTCAGTCTATTGACATGTAAAACAAGAAACTAGAACGAGAAAAGATGTCCTTAGTAACAATATCAATATTGATACATTTTCTTGTTATTCTTCTTCTAAGAAAAGAGAACGTAAACAAACCAATCATGTCTTTAGTTTAGAAAAACTTTTAGATAATTTTGTTTTGTGATAGCTAAATAAATCAACTTCAACACAATATGAATATTTCTCTCTTATTAAATATAGATGATGTTATTGAACTTTATTCTTCATCAAATTGTGAAAATGTTCAATTAAATGCTTCATCTTCTAATTCATCTTTTCCATCGATTCATATCGTAAGTGTGTTCGGTTTTTTTCAGCCTTTATCTGCTGAAAAAAATTAGTGCGAACTTAAAACTTAATAAAAAAAAATTGGGTGATTTATATGTGAAAGATAAAAAATCCGATTGCTGGAAATGTTTTGGTATTTCTGCTCGAAAACTTGATGAAGAAAAAAGTGAATTATTTGAAAAATTTGCATCGTGCAAGCATTGTTATATAACATATTCATATTTATCCAGTACGAGAAAAATGAATAAACATATTCGAATTTGTAGTGGATTTAATTCTATTCAAACTCAATTTATAATATCAGCAGAAATTAATTCTTTACAATCAATTACTACATCAACATCATCACCTTTAATATCATCATCTTCATCTTATTCAAATAATAAAAGTCTTGAATCGCACAAAAAAAATGATCAATTTGTTAGCAGAATAGATATGTTCAAATGCACGTTCACTAAATATTATCGAAGATACAGGATTCAAAAATATAATCAAAGAAGCTATTCGCATAGGTATCTGTAGCACCCAAAACTTTGCATAATTAGAATATAATTAATTTGTTTTCTGTTCATTTAGGTTATACCTATGGTCCAACTAAATCTGAAGGTGTTTTATCATGTAGAAAAGTAGTATATAAACAAATAAAATCAAGTGCTGCAAATGGACGTGAACAAATAAAACAAGTTTTATTAAAAGCTGCACGTGAAAAGTCATTAGCGTTATCATCCAACATTTGGTCAGATGCTTATCGTCAACAATCATACTTAGGATGCACAGCTCATTGGATTGATGACAACTGGACATTATATTCCTTCGAAATATTTCGTATACCATTTAATACTCCAAATAAAAAAGCTCCGAATGTGTTGAAGGTAGGAGGAACTGAACTTATATCTTATTCTAAAAAAAAACTTTCATGTTTTCTATAATTATCAGGTATTAAAGGAAGGATTATCTATTTATAATCTCATTTCATATATGAGAGATATTGTTTGGGTTACGGATCGTGAATCCAATATAAGAAAAATAATGGAAGAGTGCGAGATGGTGTTTTGTGCAGTTCATCGAGTGAACAATGTTTTTCAGAAGTTTTTTTTTTTAAAATGAAAAAAAACGAAAATGAAAAATCAACAATTAAATGATCAAATTCAAGAAGATGAAGAAGCAAAGATGAGTGATTCTGAAAAGTCAGATGAAGATGATGATAAGAATGTTTTTGATGCACACCAACGTCCACTAACTGATCAACGAAGACAACATCATCAATAAAAAATGATAAATGATACGTCAAATTCAGTGACAGCTAAAGTAAATCATTTGATTATATTGGAATCAGAGATTCCATTTGAAGCTAAATGTGTTATTAATTTAATTGTTGCTGCAAAAAAATTAGTAAAATATGTAAAATTAGTAAGAGTTTCATAAAAGCTCAAGTCATTCAATTTAAAAATAAAAAATTGTTTTCGGCTTTGTTTCAGATCAGTATCAATCAAGCTGTTGAAGATAAACCATCGCCACGATTGGTACAATGTACAATTGTTTGATGGCTATCTATGTCGAATTGTCTTGAAGTTTTATTAAAATCATTTCAGCCGTTATGTGAAATATTTGATGAACGACAATTGAACAAAGAACGTTTAGAAAAATGAATGCTGTTTTATTAGAAAAAATCATTGAATTCTTAAAGCCGTGGGAAAACGTTTCAACACGATTACAAACGACAAATATACCATCAATTCGTGTCGTTATACCCGGCATTGAAAGTTTAAAAACAAGTTTACAATTGGCGTCAAATGATACGAAATTATCAAATGAGAAAGGAAAAAATTATTAATTTGTTTGACCTTGACTGGAGTATAATATATTGCTTACCTTTTCACTGAATATATGATGTTTTTTCGAACACGTGGAAAATTTTTGATGGAAGCTATGTTTGATTATCATCCTATTCATCTTATGGCTTTATTTCTCAATCCAAGAACGAGAAAGATGAAACAATGTACTGATAATCACGGAAATTCATGTTTAGATTACATAAAACAAGAAATTGTTATGTTTGGTACACTTGATAGTGGTACATAATTGAAGAACAACAACAATAAATCGACAAGAAAAACATAGGATGAAGTAAATAGAACTCTTCGAATAATGCTGCAATATTATGAACAAGAAGATGAACAAAAGGATTTATCAACAACAATAGCTGCAATATATCAATCAGAGATCGACAACTATTTAAAATTTGGAATAGATAAATTAAACGAATCATGCAGCTCAAACTCGTCTTCTTCAGCTGATCAAGAGTATAATTCATTACATTTTTGGAAGCATCATTATACATTATATTCACCTTTAGCAAAAATTGCCAAACGTGTTTTTGCAGTACCAGCAACTAGTGCTGCTGTTGAACGTGAATTTTCTTTGACAGAAAATATTGTAACAAAAAATGTTCAAGATTATCTCCTGAAACAGTGAATGATATTATTTGTCAAAATTCATTCCAAAAATATAGTCAACTCAATGCCCAACATAATTAAACAAGAACAAATGGTATTTAGGAACTTTTTCAAATATTTTGTATATATGTGTTTTTTTTTTGCTTTGACATTTGTTTCTTCTCAAGTTTTTTTTCTTTTTTTGTGATTGATATTTAAAATTTAACTATTTTGAACAAGAACAAATTAAAAATCAATGATGGTGAAATCAAAGGGCATACATATATTTACGTATAATAGATGAAATTCGTTTGGAATAAGACAAGAGAGTCTAATTAACTATTAGTTAGTTCGAGTTATCCCTAGTGGACTTCCAAAAAACAAATATTTTTTGGCTCGGTGCGGTTCGGTTTGAAAACTTTCATTTTCGGTTCGGTTCCGTTTAGCATTCTTAAACAACCTTTCGGTTTCGGTTCGGTTAGGTTTCACAGATTTCTGTTTCGGTTCGGTTTAAATGTTGAAAAACCTGAACCGATTCCATCTCTGCTACAAAGTTTGATACGAAAGGAAATTTTCTGAATATCTTGTGATTTTTTGGTTGACTACTCACGAAACTACCTTGTACTATTTTCGCAATAAAACATATTACAAAATCAATTTGGAAAATTTATGTATTTCAGTCTTGTCAATGCATTCACCACTAGTTTTAGCTGGAAAGCTGAAACTTTCAAAAATAAAAGACCTTCTTTACATATATATGCGATAAAAATTTCAGTCCTCTACGCCAAGAAAAAGGATGAGAATATTATTAATAATTTATCGCCAATTATTATGGAACACTCTTTACCTCATTGGAAGTCATTGGAAAGTAATTAAATGAGGTTTTTGCTTGATATTTGAAGCATCTTGAAATTCTCGTTGTTCGAGTTTTCTGAACCAATACATGACATTTTATTGTTTGACAGATATGATCTATGTGAATAAGTGTTCTCATAAAAAGCAGAAACCCAAATATACAGTGGTGGCAAAACGTTCTGTGACACTTGAAAGTCGGTTGTAACTACTTTTCATTTGAGTTGATCTGAACTTGTTTCATGTATAATGTATATATATGCTGCAAGCTCCTACATGTTATCGACTGAGCGAAATGGTGTTAGTTCTTGCAAAAGAAAAGCTCACCATAAAATAGCTCCAGCGGCAAAAGGTTTTGTGACACTTCCCGTATAGCTCAACCGTTGACTTTTTGGGTCCTTTGACTTTGAAGAACACCATTGAAAAGAGTTTGAAAAATTATCTATTTTCCACGTCATTTCGATTTCGATGTAATTTAGAATAAAATTCTCAAAAAAGCAAATTGTCATAGCATTTTGCATGTTCCATTCGAAAAGACTTGAAAAGTCCCTAGCAGACAAGTGAATTTATATGTGTTTAGTTTTCATTTTGAAGAGATAGCTTACCCCTACAAAACAAGATATCAATGGACTATTTCACATTTGAAATGGAAAAGGGATACTACCAGGAGGAAAAAGAGTGTTATTTTTCCAGTTTTCACAACGAAAATCACTGAAAAATTGTCCAATTTTTCATGCATGTTTTTCCTGGTAGCATCCCTTTTCCATTTCAAACATGAAATAGTCCATTGATATTTTGTTTTGTAGGGATAAGCTATCTCTTCAAAATGGAAACTAAACAGATATAAATTCACTTGTCTACTAGGGACTTTTCAAGCCTTTTCGAATGGAACATGCAAAATCCTATGAAAATCTGCTTTTTTGAGAGTTTTATTCTAAATTATATCGAAATCGAAATGACGTGGAAAATGGATCATTTTTCAAGCTCTTTTCAATGGTGTTCTTCAAAGTCAAAGGACCCAAAAAGTCAACGGTTGAGCTATACGGGAAGTGTCACAAACCTTTTTGCTGCTGGAGCTATTTTATGGTGAGCTTTTCTTTTGCAAGAACTAACACCATTTCACTCAGTCGATAACATGTAGGAGCTTGCAGCATATATATATATATACATTATACATGAAACAAGCTCGGATCAACTCAAACGAAAAGTAGTTACAACCGATTTTCAAGTGTCACGGAACGTTTTGCCACCACTGTACTTGTGGTGCGGCAGACTTTTGATGAAAATTCATTAAATAATTAATTTGTAGGTAACACTTATCATATGAATTCACTAATGCTTTTCTGAAGAATATAAAGATGTTGCTGTACTTTAAAAAAATGATATATTGGTCTACTCTTGTCATGATTATGTGATTGATAATGTTTCTAGTATTCTCACATAGCCAACCATGTTTTCTTCATTTTGTGCAAGGTTTTCTTCCTTCTGAAGCTACAAATTTAGCTTCAAGTCAATCTTCATGACTACAATCGGTCCGTATATTCGTATTACTATGTGTTTATTTACTATAAAAATTCATATTGCTGTACTACAAAAAGTATCTCATAAAGTCCTCATGAACATACTCTACAAGCTTTGAATAGACGTTTCGACATTTTTATCAAGACAGCGTTAAAGTATGTAAAATATATATTTTCACAAGTCTTCTCATATACAATAGGAAGATATAAAGCCTGATAAGCAGTCTGGCTTCTAAATCCATCGATAAAGACAATAGAAATCAAACAGACTAAAGTAGTTCCGACCAGTCTCTCTCATAATTCAAGAAAATGTAATAGATATTCCACAGTTGACTTCTAAAATGTGCTCTCTGCTACATCTCATAAAATATATTAGCATTAGAATACTCCAAATTCCACTTGCATTCCTTCCAGTTATGACTAATACTGCTAAACTAAGCGTCTTCAATTGTAATTCATTCCTTTTAAACTAAAAAGCTTTGAATTTATCCGTTATTCGGAACAAAATCATCATAAAATAACCTGGAGAAATCAGTCATTTCGTGCTATTATAATTAAATTAAACCTACACTTCAATCCGTTCAGAATTAAGTCCGACTGTTTTTGTTCTTCTTCAGAAATTTTCGTTTTTATCGAGTACTATCTCTATTCACAGATTCGATAAGTGTACCTTGAATGTTAGTTAGTTCTTCAATGTAAAAATTCATTTGGTTTGCTACAAGATTTATTTATTGTTGAAATGACTTTTTAAGAGAGCTTCCATGAGCTGATCGAGCATCGCTCCAACATACGAGGCACTCGATAAAAAATTTTTTTCGATTTTGTTTGCTCCTTCACAACTTCAATGTCTAAAACTACTAACCCTAAAATTTTAGGTTCTAATACCCTTCCTATGAAAAGTTAGTCAATACCG